CTAATGATGTGATCCCGTTAATCAAATGACAACACATGTCTATGGTTAGGAAACATAACCATCTTTGATTAATGAGCTAGTCAAGTAGAGGCATACTAGTGACATTAAGTTTGTCTATGTATTCACACATGTATCATGTTTCCGGTTAATACAATTATAGCATGAATAATAAACATTTATCATGATATGAGGAAATAAATAATAACTTTATTATTGCCTCTAGGGCATATTTCCTTCACCATCAACGGCCTGGTACGGCCCAGCTTCAGCATCAAACAACTCAAGACCCTCGCGAGGGGCCAACCTTCGCGAGGCGGGCGACGCCAAGACCTCCAAGGGGATCGGCCTCCTCAGGATGGCTCCGGAGGAGCGTAGACCTCTATGCAAGGTGCACCTCGCGAGGCTCCAGAGTACCAGTTTTCTCCTTGGTGCGAGGGAGGTAAGCAACAGGCGTGGAGTCCCTAGGAATCAGCCAAATGTTTCCATTCTGGTGCAACGAGACCAAGACCGCCAGGACGGCAGGACGGAGGTCATCGCCGATCCCACCACAACGTCACAACCCGAGGCTTTTTGCAGGCAAAGACCACTTTAGTCAGGATAGGGTGTACCTCTTGCCCCACTTCAAATCTGGCTATTGTGGGATCCTTTCGCGCCCATATTTGGGAAGAGGACCAAGGCCACTATATATAGGACTTAGCCACCACCATAGTGAGGGATCGGATCCATTCTCATCCGACCACCTCACCAGCTCTTTTGAGCTCAAGAACACCTCACCTCCTGAGGATGTTCATCCACTGTACTAGTTCATTCTTAGACCCTCGAGGCAATCCACCAAAATGCTGGAGTAGGGTATTACACCGCAAGGTGGCCCGAACCAGGATAAACTGTTGTTTCTCTCTGTCCCTTTGAGCTGGACGCGCTAGGCTTTGAGATTCGTGAGTAGGCAGGATGGATAGGTTGAGATCTCCGCATGCACCCCGGAGTTCGAACCTATCAAGGGTTTGCGGAACCCGAAATCCGACACAACGGCATATCCTGCACAACGTTGTCAGTGGCGAGGCTGCTTGTCCCTCACATGGGGTTTGGCGGCAGCGCGGAACGTCCCGTCTACACGCGGTTGTGGGCCTCGCCATGGTGTGGAACAACTCGATCATGAGCTTTCGGCGTTGTCACCGATGCGAAATGGGCGGATCGACAGCGTGCAGGCATGTTGACCGGCATGCGCGCGGCGGGCACAGTGCTCCGATCAAGAAGTACGACACGCGTCTATGCTCGCTAGATCAAGCGGTGTTTGCGCTCCCCGCTACCATTCGTGCGTAGTTCCTACCATGTCGCCCCCTGGCTGGCGGGCCTAGGATGGGCTCTCTCTGGTGAGGTGGTAATCTCCTGTGGTGTGCCGCACCGTACGTGTTGGTCACTGTGGTGACCACTCCGGCCAGAAGCGGCAATCTCGTCGTGGATTGCGATGGCCACCGAATGGTGTTCATGAGGGTTCAGGCGCCCACTAGTATTTTTTGTGTATATGTTGTACGTCGCTCGAAATGAGGTGTCATGCACCAAGAAAGACAAGGAAGAACATGGACTACTGATATGACAAGAATATGAGGAAATAAATGGTGGTGGTGGTGGTCGGAGGGGGGGGGAGACAAGGAAGAACATGGACTACTGATACGACAAAAATATGCGGAAATTAATGACGGTGGTGGTGGGGGGGGGGGAGGGAGTACAACGTTTGACTCCCTCCGCCCCGTAATTTAAGACATTTTTTGTTAGTGTGAGAAAACGTCGTACATTATGAGACAGAGGGAGTATGTAGCTGTGGTGAGTGTCCAAACATGGGCTGCCATTGCGTAATGGATGGGCTTCTTGTCAACTTCGGTATGCATTTTCAATAATAATAATAACTTTTGCTCACCAATGTCTTGGAAGAGGAAGCAAAGGACATAGAGGCAATGACATGTAGTTTCTTTAGTAGCGGCAAGGGAGCAGCAATGCACACAAAGAAGGGTGTTCCAAATATGGAATGTGGACTGAAAGCCTATACCTTTCGAGCACCAACCATTTGGTAAAGAAACCGAAGTGTGGTTTCTTTCATGTCAATAATTATGTTAATTAGGTAGTGGAATGTTGGAGGGAGGTGTATGCACACATGTGGAAAATATTTAAATAGTGGAAATTGGTCATCTACGAACGATATGGTTGACTGTTGTATAAGGGTTGTGCTTTTTGTTCTGTCCAATATGCAAATTCAAATAAAACGGAACACTTTTGCGAGCCATGGTTTTTGGGGAATATGCAGATTTAACTCGAAACCCAAAACTTTTGCGAGCCAAGGTTTTGGGGAAAGGAAGGGAAGGAGAGCAAGGCTGACAGTAACATTATATGGTTTCCTCAATACCAGTGGTACCAAATGTTAGGACCAACAAGCTTTCTGTTAAGCCACATGATGCATTTCTTTATGCCATTAAATTTCCTAAAGCACAAACAACTAAACGGCATTGTAATTAAATTTGGCACAACTTTTGGGGAGGCGTATGTGAGTATAGAACATAAGACAAAGCATATGCAAGCATAGAAAACATGGATGGATTAATAAAACAAATTCTGCTGTTACTATTCAAAGTAGTGTATGCAATAAGTGGAAATCAGGGGAGCTTGCATAGATGCAACCTGAAATCAAAATCTGGAACTCTCATGCGCTAACAACCTGGGAAAGAAATTGAGGGATATATTAAGGAAACAACAGACGGTTTCTTCCGTACCGGCAAGGGAGCAATAACCTTAATTAGGCACATCTCCCTCTATGGAGAGGAGAGAGTAAGTGGTGTCATGGACCATGAAAATACAATGAATAACAAATATTGTAAGTAGGGTTAAATCAAAGTTGAAATGGATGGGGAACATATGTAGAGATGGACCACGCCTGTGGAAGGTGCATGGAGTTAGTCAATGTCCAAATAACATAGCAGGGGGTATGGGGTATCAGTTCTGTCGGAACATGCGATGATATCATTATTTTATTTTATTAGTGCCAATTAAGGGAGCAACACTTTTTTCTCAAGCAATTCTTTATCTCTCCTTTTTTAGAGCACAAGATTGTGTTGCAAATCGATTGGTTTGTAGATCTGGCTAACCAGAATGAGGGTTGGGAGGATGGAGATCCTGGATGTCAGATTAGGCGGTGGCCTTAGTTGTCTTGGGGGGACGTAATTGCGGAACAGGATGTAATGATGATCGCTACAGATATTGAGGAGCCTGTCGTTGTTGAGCATCCACTTCATTATCACCTCAACCTTGTAGATGGTCCTTTCGTACATGAGCATTTTTCCTCCCATCATCTTCTCCATGAGCACCTCATGACGAAGTCATCCCACTTACTGTGTACCATCCATCACAAATGCACAATTCAGAATAAAAACCAAGTACATTTCCATGTCCTTTTGTTGAGCCTGATATGCCCATCAGTCTATTCTCGGACTTCCTGAGAAGGACATGGAGGTGGTCGTCGAAGATGAACTTGTCGTTGCTATCATGGAAGTGGGCGTCGCAGCGAATGAGGTCCCTCGTAGTTGACAAAATTTTGGGAAAGGAGTATGCAAGTATAAAATTACATAAGAAAAGGACCACAATAACGCACTGACATACCCCCAGGGGGGTCATTCAAGCGAACTATCCTTCTCCCAGCAATCTAGGAACGAATGACGTTTTCATGTTCTAAAGTACAAATTGTCATGCTGTAAATAACATTGTCATAAAGTTTCCAAGCTGCAGAAGAGTACTTGCCATGCGTTTTTTTGGGGATTGCCATGATTGAAGCACGGAGAATTGCCAAACTAACAAAACAAACTTTTGTAAATTGCCATGCTCGGGACTTGCCATGCTGGCTGAAGGGAATTGCCATGTTATATCAACATTAAAAAGGTGAGAATTGTCATGCTCTAAAAACAGACACTGCCTCCCGCGAATGTGTTTGCTCAGATTGCTATCCTGAGCGAACGAATCACTGTTAGGAGCGAACAATTTAGGATTCGTGCACGGGATCCAATGTGCCGAAGGTTGTTCACTAGGACTCCTTAAAAATCTGATGTCAGATTTTCAACATTAGGGTAAGAAAAAGCATATGCAAGTATTGAAAACGTGCAATGCATGTTGGGTATGTCCGTACGTGGCTTAACCCAACAGTACAAAGTTCAGAAAAAACCGCCGGTTACTATTTGAAGTAATGTATGCAGGAAGTGAAAATCAAGGGCGCTCGTTAATATTCAATATGAAAAAAACCTAGAATTTTCATGAACCAACATCTTGGGAAAGAAACCGACGGATACTGAGGCACTGACGCATAGTTTCTTCCATGATGGCATCAGATATGAAGCTTAATTAGGCATATCTACGTCTGCAGAGCAGAGACAGTACATGGTTATCCCTCCAAAAAGGACAGGAAACATAAGGATTGTAGGGAGGATTACAAATAAAATTGAAATGGATAGGGAAAATAATCGATGATGGGACCATGGTTGGGGGAACATGCCTGAAGGTGATCAATATCCAAATAACGAAGTGGAGAGAGGGGCAGCTATGTTGCGACATGGGTGGCCATTATCTAACATTTGAGCAGTTTCAAAATAAACCAAGAACTTTTGCGCGCCCTTTTGTTCCATTTGATATGCACAGTTTTAAAATCAAAACCAATAACTTTTGCGTGCCATGGTTTGGGAGAAGGAAGATCTAAATGAAGAACTTTGCGCGGCAAGGTTTGGCAGAAGGAAAGGAAGGATACCGAGGTAGACAATGACATAATCAACTGGATTATTTAGTTCCAAATGAAGGAGCAACAAACTTTTTCTCAAACAGTTTTTTATTTCTCTTAATTGGCTGCAGCAGAATATTGGGTTACAAATCTTTGTTGGAATGATATTCGACAAATACAGTAGATTTGGCTAACAAGCAGCACGAGCATTGCGCATGGGCAAGATGATGATGGATTCCTAGATGGATTAGGCTCAGGCGTCGACGTTGGTGACCCTGGGAATGTATTTGCGCAGCCAGATCTCACGGTGGTCGATGGAGATTTTGACGAGCTTCTCACCATTGAGCACCAGGTTCACGACCGCCTCCGTCTTGAAGATGATTCGGCCGTATGTGGTCATGTTGCCTCTTGTCGTCTTCTCCATGAGCACCCTCACAATACAATCACCCCATTTCCTGGATCCATCCATGACAAATTGCCAATCATCAAACATCTATTGCATGCATGAAGATCTTAGCATATTCAATAGTAGATCTAGTACTATATCTTGGTAGTCAACTTACTCCCTGAAGTAGTCAAAGATTTCTTCGCGATGGAGAGGCATGGTCTTGGAAAAGGTGACGAACATGGAGCGGCAGTCCTCTGGTACTGCCACTGGAAGGGGGCTGTAGGGCGCCATGAGGTCCGGCAGGTTCCCAACCAGACCAGTTTCAGACCTCCTGAGCAATACATTCAAGCGGTCGTCAAAGACGAACTTACCGGCGCCATCGAGGAAGTGGGCGACGCCGCGGACAACGAGGTCCTGGTGGAAGGCAAAGAAACCCGGCTCGATGTAGACACCGCCTTGCAAGCAGAGCGTGGAGATAAGTGGGATGGGCGGGAGCACGGGTAGCGGGTAGCGCAGGCACTCAAGGACGGCGTTGGCCTCCTCCGCGACAATGGCCACATCGCCGTCATCAATGCAAGGGATGTGGTGGATGGCGGAGATGGTGCCCTGGTCCAGCCACACGAGCAAGGCCACCGTGTTTCGGGCCTGCTCCGGGTTGCTGCAGATGGACATGAATCGCTCGTACGCCTGCCTTGCCACACTGTACATGTACAACACGTCCCGCACCGTCATACTGGTCAACCCCTCCATGCTAGCACCGCAAGCGGTCGGAGACAAGAGAGGAGCAAGACTGGGATGAAGAGTCAATGGGGAATGGATGCATATTTGTAGCTGCTGGTCTAGTCAATGTTTAATGAGCTGCCAAAAACGGGCACCTCCGGCAGGAAACTGCTTTCGTTGGTTTTAGTTCGTTTTACATCCTAAAATTTATAAATGTAATTATCCGCTTTGGATGCAGAGCAATACATTGTATCCTGCTAAATATATGTCGTGGTGATGTGCTAATCTATTGCTTAATCTGTACTACCTACGTGGCACACCTTTTTCTTTTCTTGGTAGTGATTAATTTGGTACCAAATAAACCATTTGATGACATCATCGCCTAGCTCAGTGTCCTTCACATCCCCTCCCAAACCTTTATTTCTCCTTAATTTGGTACCAAAGAAACCATATGACTTTTTATCGCCCAACTCTGTATCCTTTGCATCCTTCCCCCAAAAATTGGTGCGGAGGGATTCTTGGTTCTGATTTTGAAACTACGCATATCATACTGAACAAAAAACTCAACCTTACTACGCAACTATCACCTATGCCGCGTCGAAGACCCTTCTGCACTCCCCTCCTTTGTTTCATTATTTGGACATGAGCACCTATATGCGCTTTCTGCCAACCATGGTCCCACCTCTGAACACCCCATCTGTTTCAACTTTACTTTACTCCGATCCTTTCTATTGTCCTCGTTATTCCTTGTCTTTCCTCGGAACATGACACCTCATTGGGGTCCATGTACCGTTTCCGCTCCACGAAGGGAGATGCCTAATTCAGGTTGTGACTTGTCGGCACTAAAGAAACCGTGTGACATTGCTTGTATAGGTGCAAAACAGTTATAGGTTTTGGTTTACACTTGTTGATCCGGTGACGCAGCTGCGCTCCGGTGGACGGTGGTTTAATGCTGCAGTTCACAGTGCAAAAAATGGAGGGAATCAATGTTGTTCATTTCAAACGCTGTTTTTATCCATATATGCAACATAATCTGCCCAATTTATTTGGTACTTTATATTTTGTAGACGTGGTGCACATTTTCTTGGAACTGTTCATGTTATACCATATCCAAGCTCCAGCCGTGTGCTCTGCATACATTTTTAATTTCAGATTGATATATAGAACATGTTATGGTTTTACACTCTGTATACTTCGACATGTAGACTCTTAAACCAACAACGATCAATGTTTACATACATTATATACCCCCCACACACACATCATTCACCTTCGCCCCTCTACCTCCTCCCTTCATCGGCTGACAATGCACCATCGTTTCCACCGCAAGCACCAAGTTGAGGCATCGCCACACCCCAATCATGTTGCAAGCTAAGTCCGTTCAACCCCGCACGGATTCCAGAAAAGGAAGGCATGATGTATGGGACATAACTGAGGGTTTTACAAAAACAAAAAACACTCTTAGCCTTGTGAATCTCTGTTATACATCCTTGTGTGTATGTGTGCATGTCATTTTTACCAACATTCCTAAGTAACTACTCCCATCCTAGCATTAAAAATTCAAGCGTTAACATGTACCGTACACTCTATACTTAGGGCACGCCATCTTTTCTAGCCATGGTTGTTGCCTTCATGTGTCCGACGCATCAACAACTTTCATGCCTCTATTTTCATTCTTTCTCAACCCGCAATATATTGCATCTACAGTAAAATCGTCAAGTTGGGGCACGATCGCACCCTGCTCAGGTAACGAATTAAGTCCGCCGAGCAGTTCATTGCCTATTAAAGAGCTCATTTTACATCAGCATCTCATCAATGGTTGAAGAAGATGGTGGAGAATCCCCCTCCCGACTGATTACCATATAGGAAACAATGTTGCCCTTTGCATCGGATCGTGAATATTTTCCCTGTGTAGTTCTAAAGATTAGCAGAGCCTCCTACTATGCTATATTAACCGTGATAATGTACAACTAACAGTTCATAAGAGGGATCCCACTTTTTGGGCTTCCAACATATGTTATCCAAATCAGCGAACCAAAATGTAAGCACTAGAGACTAATACAAGACTTAAGAATGAGCAAAAAAAAGTGATATCATTTGTGTAGTGGTCCTATACATGCCATGATTGTCATCCGCTTAAATATAAGTTACTCTTTTCAAATGTTCCATGCCACAACCTTAATAATTTCCAAGAACAAACCACTATCTCTATCAGAGATGCATTTGAGGTTCGCTGAATATTGAAACTTGACCATCATGCAACGCTGAAGGGACATCTAAAATGCAGATTCCCAATGGTCTGGTCCTCCCCGTAACATAGAACACAAGAATAATTATTACCAATATTAAAATTGCGTAGACACAACATGTTCCTTGCATCAAGCCTATTTGCCAGGGAAAGCCGGCCACATGAATACCTTCCAATTTATTTAAAATTGGCATGTTTAAGTCTTGGAGGACTAGGGCAGAGGAGGGATCTCATGATGAGTAATAATAAAATCTTTTTTGCTGAATACTCCGGGCCCCAAACATATGACCATGAGTCAAATAAATGGGAGTTAACAATTTATGTAGGGCTTTAGCAATTGAACCAGTTGAACCACAATGAGGGCCCCCAAAGATAAAGGAAGATCGGAACTATCACTTTACTAGGTTCGTGGAAATGTAGACATGCAAATTCCCGAGAGGGGGTTCTTCCTTCCCACTGATCAAGCCACATAGCTAGCCACCTCCACTCCATGATCAATTGAGCATACAACATTTCCTCCAAAATTGGTATTAACTTGATAATAGCTGCTGCCAAAAATAAATCCATGGGGTGCCACATGAGGAATGATGCCATCAGAATAAGATTCCCACACTAGTATGAAAACGAGCATTAGTAACGGCTCTTAGAAGTAGTTGTGACCAAACGGAATGTAGGCGCCTCAGGTGGTTTGCACTATGCAACCGCCTCCAATTTCACACCAGTGTTGACGGCTTTGCTCCAAAAATCACATGCAGTGAGTGAGTACCTCAGGGCGCCACCTTCCCCTCTCATTGTCTATGAGTTCTCAATTGCCACAACTTCAGTTTCCATCCATTTCTTCTCTTCCGCGATCCACATCCAAACCCTAGCTGTACCCTAGCACCATCGCGCGCCGCAATGTTCACTTTGACGACCATGCGGGTCTTGTGCACTTCTTTGCCGGCACCCCGCATTGACATGGTCAAGAAGTAAATCTAGCCAAGCACCTCGCCGAGCACGTTGACAGCATCATGGCAGACCCGCCCACCCTCAGCGGTGGCAGCGCGATGGTAGATCCAATGGCACTACGGATTCGCACCATCGACCTCCACCGAGGCCTCCCCATGCAAACTCCAGCATGGTGAGCTCCCATATTTTTGTCAATAATTTGAAACTTAGAAGAACTCAATCCATGACAGTTATTTATAGATCCTATTGCAACTTACATTTGTAGAACAAATAATTAATGAAAACTAACTTGACTAACTAATTTTGTTCACGACCATGATCACCATGGAGGTGGTGCCTAGATTAACTAAAAGGGGTGGGACTGGGGCAGGGTTGGCGAGGACATCAATAATGACGGCCTTGATAGCCCAGAAATGTTCCTTGGTGGCGCTCATTCTAGGTCGACCATGCGCCGATTGCTGTCGTAGGGACGAAGGAGGATGCGTGGTCCCAAATAAATTGCTCTATTTCCACCTCTTGCCGAGTGAGCTCCTCAAGGGTTAAGTTCATCAAGTCCCAATAGGAGTCAAGGGGGTCTGCCGAGTTCTTCTCCTTCTCATAATTTCAAAAACTGAAGATGAGCGGGAGTTCCTCCTGCTTAGCCATTCAAGAGGAGCATTGGCTGTGGGTGAGAGGGTATTAGGAGGCATAGAAGAGTGGAATGGATACAATAGGTAGGGTAGGGTGGCAGGGTAGGGTGGCGACCTTCTATAGCACTCTCCTAGCGCCATAGGAGGGAAGTTGTGGAGGTAGGAGGTTATGCCCGGCCATCAAGGGTCACGCTTTCCAATGGTGTGTGAAGTCAAGGGAGCAGTCGTGACATTTAATGGTCGGGTTGTCATTGGTAGTGCTTTTGAGACCTCCCTGGTTCAATTCCTGCCTGTGGCGCACGGAGAAAGAAGCTTAGTTGCCCTAATGTTTACACATCATATATATACTGAAGTAGTTGATACCCCCTATATCTATTTATCTCAACATTCACATATGACACATACAAACACACGCAACATCATCAACCTCACTATCTCTCAATATGCAACACAACTACTTTTATTTAACTCAACATGCAACACCACTACTTTTGCTTCCCAACATGCATGAGAAATTATAATTCTACTATTCCTGTCAACACACACACATCCCACTTCATCAACCTCACTATTTTTATTACTCTCAAATTACGGAAACATATCATGAATATTCTATAATTATTTTGCAATAATAATAATGAAATACAATATATCATACGTATGTTTGGTCTTCATTCTCATTCAAATATTAGGTATCCAAATCTCATTAAAATAATATATCACAACCAATTTTTGAAGCAACATGTAGGGTGTCATCTAGTATAAAAAGTTGGCTAGCTTGGGCAGGTTGCTCAGTAAACATGGTTGAAAAACGTACATAACGATGTCCAATGAAACTAAACTAGATATACGCGAGATATTTCTCTTGGAGGTGCTTTATTTTTTGGTTGCACAACACAATTTGTTTTGGAAGAGACGAGGAGGCTCAGGGGTGCCCAACCCAACATATATCCTCTCCTTGATGTCGTGAACGGTCTCAGCGTGCATGATATAATGTTATATGATGGACCTGGCAGGATGTGCTCCTTCTCTTGGATCTTTTTAGTTTTTCGAATATGTTTCAGATTTTTTGTAGAATTTGTTTCATATGTTGGTTGTGAACTATTTTTAGAATATGTTTCATATGTTGGTTTCCAAGTGTGTAAATGTAAATATTAGCTCTAAATTTTTGATTATATATTCTTGTCTGAACTATTTATGCCCCT